TTGGAGATTTTTCCCCCCCCCCCCCGTGTTCAATTTCCAGGAACACCTTTTGCACAGAAGCACAGTAAAACAAGTCTGTAAGGGACCTGACTCTGAAAGCTGGTGTTTCTAGCCCTCTATAGAGTATTTGCCAGCCAAACAACAACAACAAAAAAAAGACTCGCTATTGAAAATCCTCCCACAAACATTTTGACATCTAAATCAAGTGTTTTGAATCTGCCTGGGAGCTAATCTGACTAATATGCTGCTGGCTTAGTTCACTCGGATGACAATGTAGACACCAATTTAACGACTGCAGCCCTGACAGTGCCACCAAAATGAAGGGCTGTGAGTGAAAGCACGGGATTAGGTAACGAGCAACCCACGGCAGAATCCAACAGACCACAGAAAAAGCTTGACCCAACGAAGCTGCCTCGCTTGAAAGAAAATACAAATGCCGCTTTCAAATCAAAGTCCGCAATCTCTTTCCTCATTTACCCCGTTAAGTTAAAAGAACAATCAGGTTTGTGGTTGGTAGTAACATCATACCCCATGTGTAAGGCCTCATTTTCATCAAACAAGCTCTAGGTTATGGGACTATAAATACAAGGTTGCCTACAAGCCGTCAGTTCCTCACACCACAGTCTGTTGCCAGCGTGTCGGTGGCAATCTGCTTCCAAAACATCGACGTTGGACTGTACACTAGCGGCAAGCTTCATTCTCCGTAAGCTTTGGGGTCAGAGGGTGCACGCTGGAAGGGGTCACGTATTAACACGCGGTGCGGAGTTTCGTTTTCTGTAAGACAGAGTTGAGTTGGCTTGGCTGGGGCATCTCCTTCAGCCAGAGTCCATAGTGAAGAGCTGGATGTCATGTGGGTTCCAGTACAGGGCCACGGCAGAGTTGTAAACCAAGGACCACACGTAGGGGATGAAGAACTCCTCGGGCTGCTCCTCCTCCACGTACTTGAACTTCAGCTCGGGGAACTTCTGCAACAAGAAACCAAAGTCTGCTGAGGGAAGGTTTGCATGTCTGTTTGCAAACACGCAGCCCACACAAACACTGAAGAAAGAGGTCTGGTGAAAAAAAATAACGGAAGAACTGAACCATTAGACCCGAAGGAAAATATTTACGGGATAAAGAGATCGCTTATAATTTCTTCTTTGAGCTGAATGCTACGTTGGCATATTGTATTCAACCCTTTTACTGTTGGTCACACTCAATTTGCCTGTTAACAAAGACTAAACGTGAATCCTTTACAAAACACAAAGGTCCTAAGGAAAACTGTCATTTTTAGCAGCCCCACAAAAGCCTTCTTGCTTGCGCACGTACAAACCTGTTTATTGCAGTTTTCCCTAAAAAGCACTTTGCTGTTAATTGTACTCAGCTCCTTAGCCGGAGAATCCTTTGGAAAGGCCGTAAGAATAATCATAGCCTGTGGTACGTTTTCAGGAACGCAGTGTTACGGCAAACTGACTTTTTCCGTCTAATTCTCAAAGACTTTATGTACGTAGAAGTTTCCAGGAGAGAAATGCTCTTCCTCCAGGAAGCACGGTGGGAAGCGTGTCTAGGCTCCGTGGGGGGGGCGTTCCTGGGGTCCAGGAGGCCACTTCCAGTTTTGCTACAGGTTCTTCTGTACTTTTGGGTAGGTCATTACCTCCGTGCCTTGGCTCTCCCGCTGCTGAGGAGCACACAGAATGACTCTAACGGCATCACTGTGGCAATCAGAGTGCAAAACCCTGCGAGCTCCTCAACTGCAACGCGTCACACATCTATCCCACTTCAGCCTCTAAGGCTGTAACCACAAGACTTACGCACACAGGCACAGGTTATTGCCCGTCCACGCAGACACCTCCCCCTCCTGGAAATTACAGGCTAGACAATATCGTTTCCACAGAAGCCCTGTTTTTCAGTACCAGCAAAGCACTTTCAGAATTAACACACATCAGATGTGCTAGCTCAGCCCACCCTAGCTGGATAGACGTGCTGCATCCTCAATTTTCCAATTTTCTCTCATTTCTTCCCTCTCAAAGCAGCGCATACACTGCAAACCCCCTGCGTTCGCTCTCGGTCAGCGGGTGTTTTGGGGAAGAGCTGAGCCTACTTTTGTGCTGTGCTCTTCAATCGTTTCATCTACTTCTAAACGTTGCCTGTGTCAAGAGCTTGGCAGAGTCTCAGATAAAAGCCGCATTACAATGATCACTGGGGTAAGATAAAACATGACCCATTTTATTATTTATAAGGCTGTGGCTAAGACTAAGAATAAACTCCATGGTGTGACATGATCAGAACAAGCACAGCAATGGCTAAGCAGCCTCTTTGCCCATAAATAATGAAGGGATACCCTATCATCTTTCTTGACCTCGCGGTGTCCTGTTTCCTTGTGTTAGGGCAGAAGACCCTTCTGGCTGGAACAGTCTCCTTTGAAGGGGCACTTCTTGGCCACTTGGCTTTCAGGGTTATTTATTTAACTTTTACACACCCAGCTTATTTGTATTCTTGGGAGTCAGAAAACATGGAAACTGTCCTACTCCTTCCTTGTGTGGCTGCTGTTACTAGAGCAGTTTGGTGCAAATACTGAGCATCCCGTTACACCAAGCCACGAAGGTGCCACCTGCATTATGCTTTACGAGGAACACGTCTCCATGGACAGCTTCATTCAACCGCATGCTATCTCCTATGCTGGGCTCTGAGCAACCTGATCTAGTTGAAGATGTCCCTGCTTGTTGCAGGGGGGTTGGACTAGATGGCCTTTAGAGGTCCCTTCCAACCCAAACCATTCTGTGATTCTATGATTGATGAGGGCATCGGTGTCACCTTCCAGTATGCTCCAACGTTCTGGAGCTGCCACGGTTTGGCTTATGTTGGGGTCAGGTCCTTCACCACAGCTCTACTTAGCTGGACACCAATATTTAGCCTGGGAGGAACCATTTTGGCCATCGGTGTGGCTCTCATTATTGTACTCTATGACTTTGGAACATGTGGGGAGCTCATCCTTATAGCAATCAGGGAGGGAAGGAGGACAGTGTTGTTTCCAGCACTATTATCTCTGTTTAAGAAACTAAGGCAGCTAAAAGATAAGGTTGTTAAAGGCACTTCCGCATCTAACTCCTGTTGAGTTCAAAGCCCAGAACCTCAAAGGTACATCAGCAAGTTTCATTTCCTGCGTCAGACATGCAGTTTGTGGTAGAGAAGCTCTCCCATAGCCCTTTTGTGCCCCTAAACCATTTTCTACCACCTCTCTACAACCTCTCTCCCCAAGTCTGTTTCGACCAGCCTGTTCAATCTTCCACGGCATTTTGTTTCCTCGCTCTTATGTGTCTTGCACGTATACTCACCCCCATCTCTAATATCCTGTCTCCTAGTCTCCCATCCCCGACTCCCTTCCACTGTACCTTCATGCTCTCTCTTTAGCCTATCTTTCTATTTTGTACTTGCCCTTTTTTTTTTTTTCTTGCCCTTTTTTTTTTTTTTTCTCATCAGCCTTGTGAGATCCTCCTTTTCCTTGACATCCGCTATCCCTTCCCATCTCGGCTCCAAGTCCTCAAAGTCTGCCTTCCCATCCTCCCAAGTCCTGCCTTCCCCCCCTGCCGCCCCATCCCTCCTCCCAGGGCACCACGATTCTTTCAGCAGGTTAAGCCACACTCCAATCAAGCCCTCATGTAGATTTTAATTATTATTATTTTTTTTTAAAACTGATATTCTACTCTGCTTATCCTCCGTGTAATCTTCCCCACTTCCCTCCTAAATGCTTCCTGACTTGTGGTCAGTGTAGACAGGAACACGTTCAGTTCAGCGTTGCATCAGCAGAATGAATGGTTAAACCTCATGATTAAACCACTGCAACATTTCCTAGCAGAGAAAAGCCCTTACACAGCTGTCATTCTTCACCCCAAAGGTGGCTGCACGCCAGTACTGCAGCGTGTAGTAGTCCTTCTGGGAGGGAAGGGAAAAAAAAAGTGATTAAAGATGCTAATTTGAGTTGAATTAAACACAGATAACTTTTTTCACCTTCAGGGTCACAGATTACAGCTACCGTTTTTGCAGACACTCTGGGAGTCTAGAATGGTCCCACGAGTCTGGGACTATTCTGGACTCTCATGCAGCTTAACAAACATCTTAAGCTTTAAAACAGTAGGTAAAATTGTATTAGAAATTCCAACAGCTACATCTGAGATGCTCAGCTCTTACCATCCCATCAGCTCTCAGCTGGAAGGACAGCAGAAAATAAATCAGATAGCAGTCATATTTTCAGGCAATAAGTGTCATGCATTGATTTTATTATTAAGCCTTTCTTCAGACTGATCAATGTTGCCATTTATTGTGATCGTACTGTAGCGATTTAATAATCAATTTTAGATTAAAGACTCACTGCAATCAGCCTGGACTCTCTCACACTCAACATATGCCTTGAACAGCCTGCAGTTTTATCTTGGGAATGTAGACAAGGATAATGAGATTTTTAAGGAGAGATGTAACACACGTTGCCATTACACACGCACAATTTCAAACGTATCTTTATAAAAAGAAGGTAAGTAATGGCAGAAATGATCTTTTTCTGGTGGTTCCCCTGAACAGTGGACCCAGGATAGCTCAATGCATTGCTAACGAGACATGGAGAATTTGACTTCCAGGTCGGTAATTCAAAACCAACCTCTTTAGATGACTGCCATGATCCATGGCTGTGTGGTGGCCATGTTTTCTCATTCATTAAAAAGGAGAAATCCTAGAGGCCCAGCTTCTGCACCCCGGGGAGAGCTTCTGCACCAGACTCTCTCTTGCAAGATTTACCGCTGTTAAGATAAAAAACTACCCATACTGTTTCACTACTAGAGTATTCACTGAAAACAAAATTCGTTAACATTCAAAATCATCACATTTAAGTCACCTCCAAATGTTTCTTAGTTATCAGGCTGACTTTAAAACAATTTATAACAGCAAGGGTTAAACACCACGTATAAAGCTTGACCAGCGGCATAAAGCTTTAAGGTTTTGGACAGGTGGTAGTTCAAGGAATGTTTAAATTCAGCTCTGTGCCGTTTCTCTCTTGCACGCTCTGCTTCCAAATGAGTGATCAGGAGCCCTCGCCATGTGCCGCAGACGTACGGGAGGTGACACCAAATGAATGCTTCAGGAGAGCTGTAAAACAACCAGGTCAGAGGAGGCTCGGGGCACTCCCATAAAACACCCCAGCCAGCACTGGTGTGGGGGTTTTATCACGGCTAACAAAATTCCCGAAGTGGCACGTCAAAGCAGCAACGTAGAAAACCATTTTCTTCTGCTTTGCTGCTGTTGTGTCCAACTTAATCCTGGAAAGGCATTTGCTCCCCAGCTGGTGACACCCAAATGAACCTGGTTTTTAGCACTTTCTGAAAAGAGGGACCACTCTAAGGCACCTTAAATGGCAGTCCTAATAACAGAGGAAAAGTCCGGGCATGGGATAAATCATCCCTTTTCTTCCTTCACAGCCCTATTGGTTCAGCCGGATGGTGTTGAAAGGTGTACAAGCTCTTTGTTACACGCGCGCTTCGCTATTTAAGTTTTTGAACTCATTGCCCTGACATAAATGGGTCCAGCGGAGCCATTATTTGCATTTCTCTCCAGTCATTATCAGAGCAGAGACAACCCCAGCTAGTTTAAAACAAACCGACCTGAGACAGTACTTGAAAACTTGAGAGCCAGAGGTAACGCTAGGATTTGAACGGCACAATTTAAATACAGACACCACTTATCAGCTCTGGTGAATCAACCTACCACAGCACCCTATCTTGTTTTCTTCCGCCAGACAAAGCAGAAGTCAGATTTAGTGGTTGGGACGAGGGTATAAACTAGACAGACCAAGAACTTTGCAGACTGTCTGCGCTGTCAATCATATGATTCGATGAAAAACCACAGGAAGTCCGATGAACAGATGCAGAACTGAACTGCAATAACTCCCCTACCGCAAAAGTTCAACAACATCGGGGGGTTTGTTCTTTGTTACACGCGC